AAGGGGCCTAATATAATTACCGCACACGGGCCTCCTATTTTGTAGTTGCGGCACTGGTTGCATAGCGTTATTCAGTAAAAGTTTATGTATGCAATCCAAAATACTCACTACGATTGTTTTACTATGTTTTGGCCCGTTTACTGTAATAACTATAATAACCAACAGTATTGTATTTATTTATATTTGCTGTTCATTTAGTAATTTGTGTTTGAATACATTGTGATCGACATAGTGTAATAATTAATGGGGTACTGAAAAAAAAAACCATTATTTATTTCGTGGCATGTTATAAAAGTAAATCAATTGAAACGTCTCTCGTGAATATTGGAGTGCAGACTATGACGGACTAAAATATAATATAGATATCTTCTTATTAGTCGATGTTTTTTTGCGTGCCTGCGTTTATACAAATTAATATATTGTGGTAAGATATTTTTATTTATTAACTCATAGTCGTTTTACCGATTGCGATTTTAATATCCTTGAATAGCTGTCAATAATATTTCAACATTTTTCTAGAGCAAAAATATCGACATTTCGATCACAGATTAATAACTATTATCGTACCGAATGATTTTCAATCATTTTTAGCTAAATTATTACGAAATTAATTAGAAATTATATCGTACGTGTGTAATATAATGATATGCAAGTCTTGTAAATTTACAAACAAAATCAAAACGGCCTTTCTCGATAAATCGAACGAGCAACGCGTAGACGATACGCGAAACGAATATCACTCGGCGGCGGCGGAACACTACTAACTTATAAGAGATTTAGCGGGTGGACCGTGCGTGAATTCGCTGTGGTTGCGAGTACGTTACGCCTGCAGTACGTCCTAACATAAAGTGGCGTAGTTACGATGAGGGGGGGGTGTAAAGGGTTTCCATCCCCCCAGATTTTTTTTTAATGATATTTAATTATTATTTATTGATATTTACATATTATTGTAAAATGATATTTTCATTTTATTATGATTAGGTATGTATTAAAAATTGAGTAACAAAATAATTTTCATTAAATACGGGACACAATAATAATACCATTTTAAATGTAATATTATTACATAGGAACTCGCATTAAAATGTACTAAGAATATTATGGATTGACTCATAAACACCCGCCCCAAAAAACAATTGTATCTACGCCACTGCTAACATGTACCATGTTGATCCCACCGCCCGCGCCCGGAGTAGTGCACAATATTTTCGTTCGTGTGACCCTTCGGCTGCGGCGGTCCATCTCTCGTATTCTATAATCCTATTGCCGCCGCCGCCGCGTTCCTTTTCCCATCCTACACGCGACTCACCGGCGACACGGCCGCGACCGCCGGACGAACGTGCCACCGTAACACACTGACGCGCGCGGTCGATCGAACAGCTGTTCCCCTCCTCGTCGCCGTGTCGCCTGCGGGCCGCCGAGAGCGCGGCGTCATGTGTGCGCACCGCGTTTTCCTCTTCAGTCCACCGTATGCCGTGGGTCGCGTCTTGTCGCTCGTCGTCTTGCACCGCGTGTCGTTCGCCGCGCGTTCGTTTTATCGCTATTCGCCAGCGTTTTCGGCGCGCCCCCCGTCCTCGACGTGGTCTCGTTCGCCGCTCGTTTTCGCACTGTATTACGGTCGTGATCATCCAGACACCCTTGCGCTCACGTTCATTCAAAGCCGTGCGATGAAGTGATCGTCGGTTACGCTGCGCGTTCTCATCTCGTTCTTCGGTCGTCCAATCGTAATCCGCCCGTAGCTCATCGTGTGAAAATGCTCGGAGTGTTCAAAAAGCGTTGGAAGCCCAAAAACAGGTACGTCATTTTTTTCATTTCAAGAAATGTACAAATCGTCTATTGCTCTTTGACACGCTCGAATCACGTACACAGCACGTTATTCGTTGTAAAACATTTGGAACGGTGCAACATCGATTTATATGTACCCCGTTCCGTGCAGGGACACTGTTTTATTTAGATACAAGGGCACTTTCAGGTAGATGACACAGATCTTATGAAAATTAGTCGTTTTGGCCAATTCATTTTCGAGTTATAAATGTTGGTGCATTACCTTCATAGCTTTACTGTTCTTATTAAAATGTTCACCCTATGCTCTTCTCTTAATATTACCACTTTACCACGTACACCTACCTGGTAAAAATGAAACTGAATTTATAATCAAAAATATTTACCGAAACCCAACGTACCGAGATTTAGTATTTTACAGTTCACATAAAGGGTAATATATTCTGGTATGCGCGAAACGTACGCATAATTGAATGCTAAAATAATAGTCTCGGTTTATTTAATTATAACGATTTGATATTACGTTTTCGTGGCTGGAAAAATTTAGTACATTAATTTTTTTTTTTAATATTACTGAGTGGTATAGATTTAAAATGGACAAGGCTTTTTTTTGTGTAGCACAATATCGGGGCGGAATTTGTTTAGTTTTGATTTAGTCTAGATCATTCATATGCCCGATCATAACTTTTGTTACATGGCATTAAATAATGCAACAGAAATTTAATTTAACTAAAAATTTTCATTAATTAAATATTGATAACAAAACGCTGAATATAACTAATGAAACGTATTTCCATAGATCCATTTATGAAAATAATATGTATAAGATCTGATTGTATTTAGTATTTACTCAGTGAACATATAAAAGCGTTCAAAAGGAAAGCCGTGTATTTTAAATATTGTTGTTCATACTAAAATGAACCTAATGCTAATGTGTAAAAAACATTTATAGAGTAAAATTTCTTTAATGGTCTTTAAAAATTAAAGTTTATTCAAGTACCTATTACAGGAAATTTTATTTTGTTTTTATAAACATTAAGTTTTATAGGTACTTGCTCGTAATTTTATAATTATTTAAGTATTTAGCAAAGTTTACTGATAACTGATTTTAAAGTTATATTAATTATATTAATTTTGTGTATTATATTTTATTATATTATTATTAAACTTTTGTTGTTGTATTTATTCGAAATGTTATTTGGTAATTATGTTATGATATTAATATATGAAAAATTGTATCTATTAAATATAAAATATTTAAAAAAAATTATGATTAATTATTGAACTACATATTTTTGTTAGTATTAGGATAACTAATAGCTAAAATTTAACCATTAAGTCCAACTTATACTTCATTTCTAATTTTTAATTCATAACATTAAAATCTAATAATTGCTTTTAAATTTTAGTTATAATAAAGTTATATGATAAAATGAGTTTTCAAACTAAACAATTAATTTTATAGATATATACTTTAAAATCTAATATATATATGAATGAGTTTTTTAGTCTTAAAGTAAAATTGGACAGAAGGTATTTTTGTGAATATTATTGTCTAAGTTGTTTAATACTTGATCGTATTTATTTTATTTTTAAGTGTTATTTATATAAACTTTATTTTTTTTTCAAACAATGATTTGGAGACTCTCCTGTACTTAATTGGAGATTTGGAGATTTGGAGATTTGGAGATTTGATAGGATCAGGATTTTTTCTTTTCATCTGTCAGGGTGTAGTTTATTGGCAAGCTTCCGCAGGGTTTATTCTAATAAAGAAACTGTTATAATCGTATAAATTCTTTTTAAAATAAAATAGTTAAAAGATGCATACACAGTTGGTAATTAATTCATTTTAATTTTGGATTCCAACAAAAAATGATTTACAATTAATGTGTCATACATTTATTCGTAAAGAAAACATGTTTTATATCATTAAGTCAAGTACATCTTTTTCAAAAATACTATTTCAACACTAAAAAAATCTTTTTCTCATTTTAATATTGAATGTTATTTATATGAAAATAAATAATTATTACATCTATTTCGTTATTGCAAAGTGATTAAAATTTAAAGTTTATTAAAAATATACTATATATAACTACAAATATTTGTATAAATCTAACTGAAAATGTTGTGGACAATGACCGGACACGCACGTTACGTCGTGATAATGTATATCTCATGCGCGTACAAATTGATTAATTATATACATATACATTTATCAATATATTTTAAATAATTTAAGAGATTAATATCATTAATTTTAAATTTAACTTAAAATATCTCTTGATTTAAGCATATAGTAAAATAAAAAGAACAGTGTTTTGTATAAACTAAATATTATATTAACATGGGAGTCCCGTATGATTTTTTCAGAAAATTTTAATATAATATCGAACAAATACATTTTAATTAATTGTATTCATATTATTATTATTTGAATATTCACATAATATAATTAGTAATATTTTACTGTAATTTAAAAAATTATGATATTAAAAGAAAAAATTAATTAAAAATCATCCTTGTTCAATTTTATATTGTTCTATATTTGCATTTCTTGTGGATTGTTATGGTAATAATTTTCTCATAATACAAACAGTAAAATATACATTAAACTACAGTTGTTACGCTCTCTTAAGTATGAAGTTTTATAAGTAAATAAAATGTACAACATAAATATTTATGTATAAAAAATGTATGCAATTGTAGTATGCAAAGAGACGTGCAAAGTGTGAAGAAAATCGGTTGAAGTTTAAAATATAAACCTATTTAATTTTTAAATTTATTATACTAAGGAGAGATAAGTAATTAGTAATTACTAGTTTTAGTTTTAGTGGGTTAAAAAGTTATTTCGTAGAAAAGAAATAAAATATATTGTTATACATATGCAAATCGTGTTACTTAAAATCTTGGTTAAAATAACTGTTGTATTAAAAATACAATTCTATTTTTCTTAGTTTACATCAGGGATTGGCAACCCGCGGCCCGCGAAGCAATTTTTTATGGCCCGCACAAAGATGGTTAATTTTTGTGTTTTATTTTTGTTCAATAATATTTTTCATACAATTTTCAATACTATTTAATTCATTTTTTTTTATAAATAAAATGTAATCTAATCGTTAATAGTTGATGTTTATTCTATATAGTTGTATAGTCAGTTTAATCTATAAAATTGTTATTATTATCTAATCGGAGTTAAAGATAATGATGGCACTACTCAGTCATAGGATAAATTAAATATACTTACATATATTTAAAAATTAAAATTTCAAATATATTTAATCTGTGTATTTAATACATATGTATCTAATATATTTAATCTATGGTCATAGTTACTTTGCGTTTGTAGTAAGTAGTATAACATCGTGATTACGCCCGTACATGTGACTGTTTGCGTTCGTAATAGTTTCATTTTACAAGTAAATCCAGATATTATGGCGATTAAAAAAAGAAAAATTTGTGATGAACATCGTTTTTTTAATAATTCTTGGGTTGATTACTTTTTGTAATTGTTTACTTTTTCGTTGAAAACAAAGGTAAGCCATTATGTTTAATTTGTCAAAAAATTAAATTTTTTCTTAAAAGTAATTTTTTCCAGTAACATTCGTATTTTTTACACTCATATTTCTATGTAAAATAATCAAATATAATAGCAATACAGTTATAAGTATATATCATATGTAATTTTTTTTTTTAATGTGACCCTTAATAAACATTTGAAAAAAAAATATAGCCTGCGTGGTTCAAAAGGTTGCCGACCCCTGGTTTACATTATTAAAATTAAAAAAGTGGTTGCTAATTTTTTTTTTTTGGAAAATCTTGTTTTTCTTTTAAATAAATACCAAATATATTTTAGTTTTATTTTTTTATTTTGCATCGACAATAAATAATGAATATATAACGATTAAATTCATAGGAAAAATAATACTTTTTTTATAGTTTTTTTCGAGATTAAAATAATCAATTTGTGAAATTTACTGTCGAAAATGATAACTATGTTTTTCTTTAATCTAAATAGAAGTTATAAATACTGATGATAGGTTAGTAGAAATTTTATTGTTATTTCATTACCTTACAAATTAAAATATAGGTATCTAAAATGTATTATTACATCACAACTCACAATAATTAACGGAAGTTGTATTCTATACAGTTAAAATTGTTTTTAAATATAATATATAATTATTAGTATTTTACAATTTTCAATAAATTTTAAACGAAAATGCTAACCATCAAATTAACATTTTTAATATTGTTTTTAATAATATTTTTGTGTATGATTATTATACTAAAATGTAAAATTATGATAAAACAGGACATTTGTATGATAGTATTAAATAATTTGTGGTATAATCCGTATTATAGTTACAATTATTGTTACAAAAAATCTTTAATTGAGTTGTTGTAGGGCATAATAAATTATTTATAATGATTTATTATAAATCATGAAAATACATATACTTATGTAATATCCATGATTATATGTTACATATAATCATTGTAAGATGATGCTGTTTGAATTTAATATTATTTTTGATTTAAGATATTTATATTTGGGGATTAGGTTTTGAAAAATACTTAAAAATTATTATAAAAAGGGTTTTTATAATAAATTCTCGAGTTGTAACTAAGCAATTTATTTTTTTTCGACTTTGTAGTGACTTCCAATCTCTGGGTATACGTGTAAGAATCGTGTAAGGAAAATGAAACTCTTCAAAAGGAAAGCCAAACATTTTGATTTAAATTTTATTTTTTGATTATAGCTGTCTTACATTTAATCTACGATTTTTATTAATTGTTAAAGTGACATTTTTAAGTAGGAACCAAGTTATATTCGACTAAGCTTTGTTTATATTTTGATTTAAACAATTTATATTTCATGATTTAATATATTATATTCTCTTATTTTTATATATTATAATTTATCCTAGTGCCACTGTCTACCGTATAACTTTGTAGTTATTTCTGTAAAAAATATTTGATAAATAGTTTTTACATTTAATTTTTTCCCA